TTTTTTTCTTCGACATCATGTTGTCAATCGTGTATTTTAAAGGGAATTTGAGTATTTTCTTTTCAAGTACTGTTTTTTGGGGGGGGCATGGGGGAATTTGTATCCGTTTTTAACTACATCACACATTTTTATGTAGAAAATGCTGATCAAACTACATCAGTGTTTTTGTATGTTAAAAATACGACATATTGTTGTTTTAAGACGACAGATAATCATTTTTAAATTGCAGTAGGCCGACAGTTTATCAGTTTCTTGAGACAGATTTCTGAAGAAAGGTGTTTTTTTCCCCCAACTATTGATTTTTCACCCAATCATAATGAATATTGGCATATATTAACTGATTAACGGATGCTCTAATAATTTCCTTTATTTCTATGTTTATTGTAATGATTGTGCTGAAATGTTTTATTGTTCGTTTGGAATTTGAATTTCATTTCTTTCAATGGCACTCATTTGATACATTCTGCCAGGATGTAAACTTCCGAGCACAAGTGCATTTTATTTCCACTTTGTTTTTGTCTCGTTTTGAGTCCTGGATAAAGCTTTTCTGTCGAAATTACTTCCTACCCCAGGCCTGACACACACGTACACACTAAAATGTAAACATGATTGATATGTAAGAACCAAGGGTTTCCTTTGTCAGAAAATATATTACTTGAGCTGTGCAAAAAGTCCTACATTGTATAAATGCAAATGAAAAAAAAATACAACAAAAACATGCTGCAATAGAATGAAAAACACACAAGTTAATCAGGCAAAAATCTACCAAAAATCAAAAATGAAATATTTATTACAGCATTTTGTGACTGAACACCTTTTAAAACAATACGTCACAGTCCTCATACAAGTATTTTTTTGTTATTTTTTTCTCTCTTTTTTTTTGTTACCTTTTGTTTGTTTGTTTGTTTTTTTACGTTTTTGACAAAGCTTTGAAGGGAGACGGCATCTTATCTTCTAGTGAGGAACACGTGCTGAGAAAACAAAACAAAATGAAAACAAACCAAATAAACAGAAGAGGAAGGAATTCATGGACATATACAATATCAATGCCACAGCAGATCTGAAACTAGCAAAAAAACATTCTTTTTCAATTGAGGTAAACACATAGAATATCTAACAGGAAACAATTAATAGACTTGAACTCTGTACGAAGTTTGTTACAATAGTCTCTCAGCTTTTCTATTTTTTTAAATTTATGCCTGTGTGTCTGTGTGTGTGTGTGTGTGTGTGTGTGTGTGTGTGTGTGTGTGTGTGTGTAAGTGTTGTTTCAACCCCCCAAAAAACATTGAGTTCATAATTTAAGTGTTTTTTTTTTCTTCTTTTTTTTTTTTTTTGGTGCATCGATAGCTTCTCTCCAGTGCTGCACAATCAACATGTGTGTCCGTATGTGTGTGTGTGTTTTCTCTTTTCCTCCCCCTCTACACCGTGGAGCTTCTTCCTTCACTCGGCTCTTTAAGGATGAGAGTCCCGCAGTAGAAAAAAAAAAAAAAAGTATAAAACCAACACAATCCAGTGCTTGGGCAATTTTAAACAATGTTTTTTTTTCTTTAAAAACATTCATTCAAGAGCCTTTAGAGTTTAAAAATAAAAAGGCATGACAAATCTTCAAGGCTGTCGTCAAGCAGCCTTTTCCCATCATGCCTTGAGGGTGGGTTGTAGGGTGGGGGTGGCGGGGTACTTAGGACCTGGTGGCCCCTGTTGAAGCCTTTTGAGATGTTCCACCTTCTTCTTTGTTGACATAGTGCTGTGCTGCGAGTCCTCCGAAAAGGGTTAAATCTTAAAAAAAAATTAAAAAAAGAAACCCTAAAAAAAAAAAATTAAACCGTGATCCAAAGCAAAAAAGTTTTAACTTATTTACCGATATATTTTTTTTAATTTTACTACAGTAGTTATAACTCTTGGAGTTTGTTTTTTCATTTTTAAAAGTCTTCCAGAATGATGGTTCTTTCTCGCTGCCTTTTTTTTTTCAGAAGCGCCACATGAAAAGAGTGTTTTGAGTTGTTTTTCAGTTTTTTTTTTAAAGCCCAAGACTTTACAAAGTCAGCTTGGTCCTCCGCTTGGGTGAAAATGTAACAAACATTAGAAAAGAAAAGAAAAAAAGAGTTGTGGTTGTCACAGTTTGTCTGGAATTCTTCAGTTCAGCTCCAAAGGCTTTTTCGATTGTTACTCTTAAAAAATTTTCTCTCAAAAAATGGCGCCGCTCGCTGCTTTTTTTTTTCCTTCTCTTCTTGAATTCCAAAGTGGCCGCGGCATTTGCCCGAAAAAGTTTCCCTTCTGACTTGTCAGGCGTGGATGTCCAGGCCCGCTCCTGCAGTGGCGGGGTCCATGGGTGTGAGCAAGGGCGGTCTCTGCGCAGACATCCCCGGGGGGGACAAAGACGAGGAGGGTCCTCCGTGCATCGGCATGGCGTGGTGGTGGTGGTGAGGGTGGACGGGGTACGAGTGGAGAGGAGGGGGCACGTGACGCAGCTGGCCGGGGTAGGAGGTCATCTGACGGGGGTTGCTGTAAGGGGCCGGGGCCATGCTCACGCCCATAGGACCGCTCTGAGGTACGTAGTCGGCCGGCACGCCTGGCAGACCTGGTGAAGAAAAAAAAAAAAAAAAAACACGACATGTCAGCACTCTTGGATTTTTTATTTTATTTTTTGATCACATTATCACTTCTTCCATTTCATTTTTTGCACGCAGTGCTCCTCAGGGATGGGGTTACAGATTTAAAGTGGCTGAAAAAAAGGTCCCAGGTACAATTCCAGCCTTTTCTCCTCGAGTTTTGGGAGCCCAAAAATTCCTGCTTCAAACCAAAATGGCATCCTTCTGGTGTGTTTTGGAGCATGGGATTTTTTTTTTTCTTTTTTTTTTTTTTTGTGGGTCTTCTCATGATAGGCTTGCCTTCCAAAATAGATGATGCCAAGTGAAACGACCTTCGGGGACTGAATTTTTCTAACTCCTGCAGTAGTCTATCTTTGAAGGATACAGAGAAAAAGGGCTTAATTGAGCACAAAAGTAAGAATAGTAAGCAAAATAGTAGACTTCCTGTGTGTTCTGTTTTTTTTTTTTTTTTTTTAAATACCTTTTTTGTGGGTCTACTCATGATTGACATAGGCCAACCGCAAAATTTCACGTTGACGAACTCTGTCTGTTAGGCCCTGGATTCTTGAGAATTTTTTTGTGGGCTTACTTGTGATTGAAATGCCAACCAAATATCATTTTGCCCAGTGAAATGAGCTTTGAGAGGAGAATTTTCTAAATATGTAAAAGTAATTTGTCTTTGGAACTGGAGGAAAATGACTGCGTCAAACCAAAATGGCTGACTTCCTGTCTCTGTTCAGCATATATGTTGAGACCTTTTTTGTGGGTCACCTCCTATTCGGCATACCCATGTTGACATTGCCAAGTGAAACTGCTTTTGGGGGTTGAGTATTCAAAGAATTCTCCTGCAACAATTTTTGCTGATGCCAAATGTTCATGGCCCTGCTTTTGATTTTTTTTTTTTGCATTCTTGCTTGTAAACAGAGCAACATGAATCTCAAATACATAAAGGGGGGAGGAGGCCTGGAGTGGGGGGAGTGGGTGGGTGGCTGGGCTCCTGCTGGAGCCATGGGGCCTGATTCTGGGTCCGGGTCTGGGTTTGCGGGGCCGGCCCGCTTTGTAATGTGAACCCCTGGGGGATTAGAAGCTGTAATAGGAAGGGAGAGGTCGGCGCAAGGTCACTAAGCATGCCCGCTCGCTGCATTCCTGCACCTTAGTACGCTGCAATTAAGAAATGACACTGGAGGGCCCTTGTGAGGGGAAGAGGAGGACACAGTGCGGAGGAAAGGTGGGCCAGTAGGGGGGGTGTTTGTGAGATTAATGACCGGTCTCATTGGCTGAGAGCTTGGCCCATATTCCAATACCCCACCGTCGCATGTCACATCATTGGAAATGCACATATTTGTGAGCGCAGCTCTCTTAAAACCTCACTACCGGGGTCGTAAAATAAATAAATCATTCAAGGCCAGGGGGAAAGGGAGGGGCAGTGGGGGGTTGGGGGGTATATATGGGCATGAGGTACCCCCTTTGGCCTCCATATAACCTGGAGCAGCTCCTGTTAAAAGGCCCAGCAGATGTTTTTTGACACTGTAAACTGCGAGAGGCTGCAGTCATTGCATTAAGTAGACACCCCCCCACCCCCGCCCTCCCCCACGCCTCAACAATCCCCTTCGCTATTAACAAAAGTGTTGCGCACGGACAAAACCGGACGCTCGGACCTATTCGCTCCACTCGCTCGTGGTCGCGCTCAACAACCGGCTGTAATTAAGTCGCCGGCCGTAGCATATTGTGCGGGGCCGTAATCAAATCAAGAGAGAATAATATTCCTCTGCATTAAGCTATTAATGTAATTGGTCATGAAGCGTATAAAAGTGCCCCGGCGTAATTAAATAGTCTCAAAATTATACGGCCCCGTATTAAGAATTAGCCAACCTGAGCAAACGTTGTCGCTGTGCGGCTGTTTTAGGGAACATTGCTTCACGATTTTTCTTACCCTAGAGCCCCCCGCCCCACCGCGCTCGCCGCCTCCAGCAGATGAGCGAGGGACAAAACAGAAGAGAGAACGAGACGAGCGGAAAAGACCGGTGGGGCGAAATGATCTCTGTCGGAGGGATGGCATCTTTGACCCGTTGGAAAAAAACCCAGTCGGGCCATTTGCATATAAAGGCTTCTTTTAATCAAGGTAAGTGCTATTATATTGTGGCTCATTGGCCAGCGCACGGCTTCGGTGTTAAGATAAAATATCCTCTGAAGCCCCCCTCGCCCCCACCGACTCTCCTCCCCCGGACGCTCTTTGGGGTGTGATATGTCTCCATTTTTCAAATGTCAGCGCAGTAGCAGTTCTGTGTGGCGGTGGCGAGCCAGGGCCCGGATGGCCACCTTCATCAGGCTGACTCCATTGAGATGCTTGTGCGTGTGTGTGTGTGTGTGTGGGGGGGGGAGGCTACAGGCTCATAAAACCATCTCAAAAGCACCTTTCACACTGGCTATGTAAGACAACTTTCCACTTGTTCAATTATCCAAATGTCCAAAGAAGGACTTTCGGTCTTGCCTGTAAGGTACCCAGATGAGTTTTGAGTAGGCCAACGAATTTTGAGATTGACACACTTCCTTTGCATTTTTGTGTTGAAAGTTGAGCTGTCACTCTCAAATATTTTCAGAATCAATTATTAGCTTGGGCGGCCCGGTGGGCAAGTGGGTAGCGTGTCGACATCGCAGTGCAGAGATACCGAGTTCGATTCCAGCTCCGGCCTTCCTGTGTGGAGTTTGCATGGTTTCACCGTGCCTGCGTGGGTTTTCTGCGGGTACTCCGGTTTCCTCCCACATTCCAAAAACATGCATGGCAGGCTGATTGAACACTCCAAATTGTCCCGAGATGTGAGTGTGAGCGCGGATGGTTGTTCGTCTGTGTGTGCCCTGCGATTGGCCGGCAACCGGTTCAGGATGTCCCCAGCCTACTGCTCAAAGACGGCTGGATTAGGCTCCAGCACCTCTTGCAACCCTTGTGAGGATAAAGCGCATCGGAAAATGGATTGATGGATGAATTATTCGCTTGATTATTCCAGCGATTAATCAAATAGATCAAATTTGATTTTGCATGAAACCGTATGACAGAACCATTTTCTCCCCCGAAGTCACAGGTGTCAAACTCGAGGCCCAGGGGCAGAATCCAGCCTGCCAAAACATTTCGATGAGGCCCGCCAAAGCACACGATCTGCATTGATTTCATGTTTCTCGCTAAAACACCCCTAAATGCAAAACTGTCTTGACTTTTCAGAACGTTGAGAAATCGCAATAATCTTTTTTTTTTGTTTTGTTTCCAACCTCCCCCATTTAAAAATAAATGTATTTGAGCAAACAGTTTTTCCTGGCATCTGCTTTCAAAGCGAGTTATTCTTCAATTTGTTGTGCACACATGAGGCGATCATTCATATTTCAGGGTTCACAGGCAGTGCAGCCCTCGAAAGGAAACCATAACTACCATGTGGCCCGCGACAAAAAAAATTGAGTTTGACAACCTACCCTGAGTGGTTAAAAAGATAAATTGTTGTTGTTTATTTGGTATTGTTTGGTTATTTAAAAAAACAGCGAAACAACAATTAAGCAATATAACACAAGAGGGATTGTTGTACTCACCAACCTTTTTGAAATTTGTTCATTTACTGCTTCGGGCATTGTTTTCCAAAGTAAAAGCAGATGTTTGCAAAGGCCTTCTTTTGATTAAACACAAAATAGAACACTGGTCAACAGCACATTTTAATCCAAAATGACTTGCGTGTCCCTAAACTTGTTTTTGAGGCTGATTTAAAAAAAAAATGTATCACCTTTTTTTTTTTGTAGTGCATCGGGTTTTTTATTTTAATTCAATTGATTAGTTATTATTAACCAATTAATTTCGCTACGTCTCGTTGAAACCAATTGTCACCATCTCGCTGATGTCACAAATGTGCAAGCGGCAGAGGTTGTGTGGAATGTGACTTCTATCTGAGGTACACAAAACGATTTTCAAGAGAGAGGTTCTGCCATAGCCTTGTCTAATCGGGGGGAAAAAAACGGTTCTCTTGTTGCATCTATAGTGTGGGCACCAGTTACTCTGGGATTTTACTTACTGGGTTCATATCCCTTCGCAGGGCTTGACTGTATATAGAATTTGTGACATTGATGGCATGCCGTGAGAGTTTTCAAATGTAAAATATGTGCCTTGTCTCAATAAAGGTTGGGAAACACTGCATTAGCGTTCATGCGTGTGTCTTTTAGCCACTATGCCAACAGCTCTCGGCTCATAAATTTATCTCAGTGTCTCAATGGTGGGTACCCCACCAGCCCCAACCAACCCCCCCCCCCAAAACCCCCATCCTGATCCTTAAGTTGTCAGCCCCAGTGAAGAATAATCAAAACACATCTCTGCTCAAAACAAACCTCCCGTGAAGGATGGGGCTATGCCACCCCCCATCCAGGCCCGTATATCTCTATCCCGGGAAGGACTGGGTGGCGGTGGGGGAGGCGGGGAGGCGCGTAATGTACTGCGACGTTCCCATCTTTGCATATAAGATAATTTGGGCATCAATCCTTTGCTGGACAGATTTATGTCACTCCGAGGACAGTTTCACTTCTCTTCTTTATCGCTTCACTGGAGCCTGCTTAATTCCCGTCCCCCCCCTACAACCCCTTGTCAGCTCATTCCCCAGGAGATGTTATTTTTTTTCCCCCCAAATGTCCGACATTTGCATCCTCGTCCATTTGGGGAGGGGGAGAAGAAAAGAGGGATGGCGCTGCTGCGATAAATAAATGTTCAGTTCCTTCCACTGTCCTCTCTTCTTGTTGTCTGGCGCCACAAGTCCCGTCCCTTTCTGTCCCGGGACGGGCTGAGCCTCCTTTTTCCCAAGTTAATTCATCTTTAACTACTCTCTATGCCTTGCCTCCCGTCGCGCTAAAAGCGTCCTTTAAAAAGCCCCGGGAGGTCCGAGGGTGAAACAGCCCCAAGCTGGGAAAGAAAATGGAAGATAAAAAAGATAAAGATCCCAGTACTTACTTGCCCCTTTTTCTTTGCGTTTTTGCTTTACAAGATGGAGGTTACATGTAGTGCCATTGCCCATCCATGCCCATATTCATCCCCATTCCACTCATAGGCCCTGAAAAGAGGAGAGAAAACACCGGAGGAGAGTCAACCGGAGTCTGAAACATGACGGGTTAGCTCCAGGTGAAAGGACGAAGGAAGAGAAGAAAAGAAGTGACCATTCGGGGTGGGAATCAGACTAAATCCAAACAACAATTAAAACAATGAAGTCGATTTTTTTAAAAAATATTTTGTATTCATTTTAAATAGGATAAACTACAAGAGTGTGTTTTTTTTTCCCCCCACCAAATTTATTAACATTGATAGTCTGGATAAACTGGTGATCACATCGCTAAGCAGGGTAAACCAATGCTGACTTAACTAGCCTGGGCAAACTGATACTAACTTTGCTAACCTGAGTAAACTCATGCTAACTACATTAGTCTGGGTAAATGGTGGTAACTTCACTCACCAGCAAACTGTTTCTAACTTCCCTAGCCAAGGTAAACCCATACTTACTTCACTAGTCTTACTTTACTTAAGCAAACTTTATTAGCCTGGCAAAACCGGTGCTGACTCCACTACTTTCGGTAAACTAGAGCTAATATACTAGCCTGGATAGACTTGTGCTAACTTTGCTAGCTTGGGTAAACTTGTGCTAACTTAACTAGCCTGATGCAAATGTCACAAACCGGGCTAAACCGGTGCTAACTTTACTTTCTTGGGTAAACTTGCGCTCATTTGCCTAGGTGATATGACTCTTAACTTTTGAACTTTTTGTAAGCTGTTGGCAACTTTGGTAGCTTATTTAAACTGGCGCTTATGTAACTAGACTGGGTAACGCGTTAATTTCAAAAGCTTGTACTAAAACCTTGGGCTAAGAATAATAGCTTGAGTAAATTGGCAATACATTCATTAAGTTGGGTAAACTACCGCTAAATTCATTCGCAGAGGTAATCTAACGCTAACTTCGAAACCCCGGGTAGACAGCTGCTAATGTCACTAGCCTGGGTAAATGGGCCAAGATCCTTGTTTTGATTAAACTTGCTAACTTTGCATGCTTGGATCGCCTTGTGGCAACTTCATTAGCCGGTATTAACTCTGCTAGCCTAGTGCTAAACTAGTGCTAACTTTGGCTACCTTGGGTAAAGCTTGTGCAACATCTCTCGCCTAATTATAATGGGTGAACTTTACTAATCTAAGTAAACATGGTCTAAAGTTGCTAGCGTGGGCAAACTGTTGCTAATGGATTGGATCTTCCCATCCCTAACGATGTTGTTGGATTATATTATTTTGTAGTCATATTTCTTGAACTGGAGGAAGAAGAAAAAGAAGCAAGTTCAGACAAAAGCGGTAATATTATGCTTGTGCAGCCTGCGTTAGCGGTTAGCCTATCAGATGTCATGCTGGATTATGAAGGAGACACAGGTGACCAAGGAAGAGAGCGGAGTTGGTGGTGGGGGGGGTTAAGAAAGCGCGGAGAGGACTCACCGCCCGGTCGGATCCCCATGTGCTGCTGCCCGTCCAGCACGAAGCTGCCCATGGGCTGGCCCTCTGGACTGTACGCTGCTCCTTGGCTCACTGAAGGATCAAGAAGAAAACCTGATTGTAGTCAACACGCGGGCATGAGAAAAAATAGGGAGGAGGAGGAGGATCGGGGGAGGTGGAGGAAGAGGGTGGTAGAGGAAGAAGAAGAAGAGAAAAGACACCAGACAATCAGCAATTGTCTCAGCTTCCAGCCCAAACATACTGTAAGACATTGTGCTTATGTTTGCGCGCTGCGACGCGTGGCGCGCGCACACACACACGCACATGCGCACATAACGCACACACTCATGCACTGACATGCTCATATGGCGCAAACATTGTTCTTTGAGGGCAAAGAACGCGTACAGCGAGGCCTTACTGTCATAGCGCTTGAAGAGGCAAAAGAATCTGCATTGGTCTTGTCTTTTCCTAGCCCAAATGCACCTAAGTGAATTATCTCGGATCATCTGCAACTAGCAGGGATTAGGGAGGGGGCGGAGTGGGGGGGGGGTTGCGCTTAGTCACGCTAATTCATTAAAGAGATCTTTGATTGGGATTGACTGGATGTTGACTAACAAAGCTAAATAAACAAAAGTACAAATGGCAATTTGCAGTATGCTACTCATTCATGCTAATAAGAACATAAAAAATGTTTCCGATGATATTTGAGCCTGCAATCGAAATGTATACCACCAAAACTGCGCAAAACTAGGGACCGGCCAATTTATCGGCAGATATTAGCGCTTTTCGATCGGTAAAAAGCTCGTTGATTTTTGCCGATTTTGTTTGACACGTTAGCACATTACATCATATGAAAAAGATAATGAAGTTATTCTTTTTTAATTCTACTCTGCCAAACATTGGCATCGACGAGCATCGTCAGAATTAAAAGCCTTTTTTTCTTTTCCTTGCCCCGCTAAGACATGCAAAATGAATGTTTTTAATGTCCTGATATTAGCGGTGCAACGATTAATAGATTATGAAATTATTTTTGGAATGACTTTTGAGAATTGATTATTTGCCTTTCAGTAGTAAATATTCCCAGATTTCTGTAGTCCTCAATGAAAACAGACATCATCTTTGGGTGAAATCAAAATGAAACATTTGCTTCTACTTTGGAAAACAATGGCCAACCTTTTTGCCAATTTTTTTTTTTTCCGGACCGAACCAGTAACGGAATCATAACTCATTTATGTTTGTGGATTTTCTGCACTGTCAATTTGAAACATTGTCCTATTTCTGAATAAAGGGATGGAAATGAAAACATTTTTCGACATCTTTTGCACCCCAAACCAATTACCCGACAAAATAATGGACAGTTGTCAGCAATCGTTAGTTGCTGCCCTACGAACTATCCACAGAGGAAAACATCTTTCCGCTATTTCCTCTGAGGTGGTGAAAAAAACAAAAAGATTTTACACCTTCAAGGTTCCGTTGTTTTTGAACTTCTGTTTGTCATTCTTGTGAATAACAACATGGTTGATTTTTTTATTTAAAATGTACCAAGAAATCCACTCCTGCCATTTTTGGGATTGGCTCCAAATGTAGCACAAAAAGTAGATGAAAACCAGCAATCAAGTAAGGGACTGTTGAATATTCAAAAGGCTTTTTTTTTTTTTTTTTTCCAGGCACTTCCAGTAGGAAATCTCCAATTAGACTGCACGCATTGAGTCGATGGTCCGCAGGGGTAACTTGAGGTAAGACGTTTTCCCCCCTCCCTTCCTCTTCTGAACAGAAACTGGGCAACAGTGTGCATGCGAGTGGGATTTTTGGAAAGGACATCTTCACACCAGGGGGGTGGGGGGCTTTGGCGGAGGAGAAGGAGGACGGGAGAAGGAGGAGGAGGAGGAGAAGAAGAGTGCTACTGTATCCATTCTTTTTCTTTTTTTTTTTTTTTACCTGCTCGATTCGACTGGTCAATCATGGGCTGTACTATTCTTCTCCTGGCATTAATGAACCTGGCAGAGACAGAAGAAGAAGAAGAAAGAGACATTAAATCAGGCCGACATTCACGCCGGCCACACACACACACACACACACACACACACACACACAAATACAACAACAAACAAAAGGCCGATTGTGCGGCGACTTGGGAACCGAGCGAGGGACACGTTTAATGTTCCTTATGATCTATTCCCCCCTCGTTTAATAAAGCTTTTGATTACGTAGGGTTGCCACGGGCGCCGAGGAGACATTCCTCAAGTATTAGCTGCCGCTCGGGCGCAGGCGGGAGGTGGGTAGTGTGGGGGGGGAGAGCTCTGGCGGTGGCACATCCCTTTCTGCTGCCGTCCGTTTTTATTTCCCCTCGCAGACACTTTGGCCCTGCGCACGCCAACTTCACCGCAGCTCGTCTTCCCCCAAGTGGGGATGCCCCCCATTGGAATGGGAAAGGAAGCTTTAATGAAGAAACACTGAGGATGCACATGCTTCCTTTCAGGCCTTCCTTCCCCTTATGGGACCCCAACACTGAACGCACTGGCCAGGGGGTCTCTAGCTGTCCAGAAATGAGGACCACTTTTGCGTGTAGCATTTGAATGACGACCACAAGAGTATCAATGTGGCCGTCACTATCATTTTTTTTTTTAAGCCATGTGTCATTTTTTTGGGTGGCCAGGCTTATAATCTTTATTTGATTGCTTTAAAATTGTGTATGTGTGTGTGTGTGTGTGTGTGTGTGTGTGTGTGTGTGTGTGTGTGTGTGTGTGTGTGTGTGTGTGTGCGTGTGTGTATTTTATCTCAGATATGTTGCAAAACCATTTTCGACAGTGTTGACGTTCATCAGGTTCAAGGGGCTGAAATAATAATTCGTATTTAGAAGTAAATCCTTTTACTGCTTTTTGATGACCAATTTTCTATTTGATGTCGTATTTTAATGTCGGTCATAACACTGAGAACTATTTGAGGAGAAACTTTACAAAATCCGATGCAGCTTTTCCAATTTTTTGGTTTAACATTTCGACAGTGGTGCCCCCCACCACTCCGCCACCCTCCATATAGTCCCCCTTAGGTAGACCTGTACAATCTAATGCAGCCTTTCATGAAAACATTAACACAAACCCTTCAATGGGACCCCATTTCTAGGGCGGGAGGGGATTGTGTGTCCCCTCTCACTAACCCCTCACACCCCCCCCCACACCCTCCACCCTTCTTTCCAGCTGTCCAGAAATGAGGAACAGGCATGGGCCACTCTCACGTGGTATAGCGATGTCAACGAACCCATCAATTTGGCCGTCTGAAGTTTTATCACCAGCCTTAGTAGCAAATAATCGCAGTGCCGCAACAAAAAAAAGAAAAAAAAGGCCTTTCCAGTGTGGTGGGTGGTGGGCGGGGGGCGGGTCACAGGGAGGTGACTGCCAGCTGGGGGTGACCTTTTAACTCTTCTGGGGGTTGCGTCAAACACAAGTTGACCACTGGAGCTCAGATTATAATTATTTTTTTTTAACACCCTCTCATCCACGTCCATAAAAAAATCCACTGCAGGTATACGGCCATGTGGTTGGTATTAACGAGAAAAGGTGGTTTCAAACCACCAGCGTAACGTACGGAACGGCTCAAGAGGTGGTCATTAGCGGGAAAGGCAGAGCTGGAACCAATTTGGGTTTCTAATCCCCCGTGAAGTCCTGATACCTGCCCTCACCTTCCCCGATGAACTTTAAACGCCTCTAATCTGCCTGCCTCCAAGCGACGCACGAGAAGAAGAAGAGAAAGGACAGGTACACACCGGCGGGGAAAAAACACGGCGCCAACTGAGGGTGAGTTCACATTCTTAAAGGGAAATTAGTGTTGCGCATCACATGACAGCGGTAGGCAAGCACCGGTCGCGCTTCAGGAAAAGGTGCAATGATGCAATCATGAAGTCGTAAATCAGATGACGACAATCATGCAAAACAAACCGCTGGCTTTGTCAATTACACCTGTTCATGTTTTGGAAAACAATAATATGTAAATGTGGAATGCAATTTGTAAGCACTGAACTGATTTAGACGCTAAATAAATAAATGAAGGAAGGAATAAATAAAAACTAAATAATGGCGATTTGAATTGGATGAGCTACTGTTGAGCCTTAATTCACTCTTACATTTACACCCCACATGAGAAATTGAGAAACGTGACAAATAAATCCAAATATTTTTTTAAAATTATAAAAAGACAAAGGAGAAAAATTACAAATGAAAACAAAGCTAAAAATTAAATAGAAATATTCAGAGGAAAAAGTCAGGAAATGAAAATCAACAAAAAATACACATGTATATAAAATCACATAAAAAAGGTAAATGCAAATAATCTGGAGGGAAAAAAACTTCAAAAAATAAAATAAACAAATTAAATACAAATAACGATTTAAAAAATTACGTAAAAAGAAATATGAGACAAATTACAACAAAATAAAACTACAAATTATGTAGAAAAATAAAATAAAATAAACAAATTAAATACAAATAATGATTTAAAAAATACATAAAAAGAAATATGAGACAAATTAAAACAAAACAGAACTACAAATTATGTAGGAAATATTAACAAAAACAAAACAAACATGAAATAAAGAAAATAAAATGAACTAAATAAATACAAAGATTAAAAAAAAGCTATTTAAAAAAATAGGAAAAACATTATATTAAACCTCAACTCAAATTAGAACAAATAAAATGAACTAAATAAATACAAAGATTAAAAAAAACTATTTAAAAAAAGAGGAAAAACATTCAACTAAACCTCAATTCAAATTAGAACAAGAGTTGGCACGTGTAAGGATCTGGCAGCACACCCTATGATCCCATCCAAAAATTCAAAAAGAAAAACAACTATGAAAGGCTTCACTCTCCCCCCAAAAAAATCTGGTTTGAAAAATGGCGGAAACCATGTGGACCTGTCTGTTATGCTTGCAACCGCTTGCAACTTGGCCTTCTGTCTCCTGTTGGAAAACTGTCAAAACATTTGCTTGCAAACCAATTATAAGTCATAAGAAAACGACCCCCCCACCCCCCAAAAAAAAAATAAAACTGTGTGTACTTGAATGCTACTCTTACAGCAGCTTTTGTTTGTCTGGGCAGACATGTTTAGCATTTCTCTCATTGCTGGCTCACTCCACCACTCGCTCTCTTTTCTTCCTTGACAAAGTCGTCAAACTAGTGACCTCACTCCTGATTGGTTGGCTTCTCTCCCCCGCCATCTTTGCAGTGATTCTCTCTCTCTCTCTCTCTCTCTCTCTCTCTCTCTCTCTCTCTCCCTCTCTCTCTCCCTCCCTCTCACGTTTCTCCGGCTGGGCCCGGCTCCAGGGAGAAGGCCGCTTTGGCATGATGATTTCTCAGCGAAAGAATGCTGACAACAGGAGCCAGTTAGCAGGTGTGGCTTTGAGTCACTTAACCAGAAACAAGAGCATTGTGACAAGCTGAAATTTGAAGGTACGTGTGTGGAGCAGCTTTTGTGGAAGCAATGCCTTCTTTGCACATTTGTGTTGCATTACACCACAAATAGAGGCTGGCTGTTTGGTCCACAGGTAGTTTTTTTTTTTTTTTTAAAGCACCAGAACCACAACATAGAAAATCTGAAATGTTATACCATACATGCATTCAATTATCATCCGTTCATATAGCCCTGAAAAATCAAGTGAAGTCGGCAATGCCACTTTCCGACCCAAAAAGACATTTTGCTCATTTTGACAGAAAAAAACCCCAAAAAAACTTCATAAGAATAAGATTTTTCCCCGCCAGAAAAAGTGAATCTCTATCCACAGAGAATCTGCAAGCTGGCAGGCACCCGCCAAAGAGGCGCCAAGAGGTGGCACTGTAAGTGACTTTTTTTTTTTAGCCATTCAGACAGCTGAAAGAAGTCACTTCAAGAAAAGATGCCGAAACCAGTGGAACCAATTGAAGAATTAAAAAAAAAACAGAGCAAACAAAAAACAAACCAAAAAAAAAAAACCGCTGAGCTGTGAAGACAGAAAAACAATTTCATTAAAAAAAAACAAATAAAAAAAAAGAAAAAGAAAAATAGCAAGCGCATGCCGGAGCCACAGATGGTCCTGCATAACCCCTTGTAAGCTGTTTTAGCAAATTACAAATTCGAGGAAAGTCATTTGTGGAAAAGTTAAAAAAAAGAAACAAACAAAAAAACAACCCATCCAATTAGGTTAAAATAACCCTTATTCATATCTACTCTCCATATCGTAAAAACAGAGATAGGTGGCTTTGCATCACCCCTGACTTTGCCAATTGGAATGGGGTGGGGGGGGGGGGGGGGATGTAAAAACATGGACTGAGAGTGTCATTACTTTGTTTTTCCTGCCTATGAACTTATGAAACAATGAAAAAGAAACCAATTTGCACATTACACATCAACCCCTGGAAGGCTGTTTTGACCAACCAAAAACTGGAAATGAGACCTCGGTAACAACGAGGCCCGGATGTCAATTTAGGGTCAGAATATTTCGACGTGTTGGGGACCCCTGTGCCAAACACCATCAGTGGGCCTCGATTTTGGAGTGATGCCTTTGCTTGAGAACATCATTCTTCAATCTAAAAAGCATGACCAAAAAAAAAAAAAAAAGAATTGTTCATGTCGAAATGGCGATACATAACAAACGTCGCCTTGGTCGGAGCATTTTCTCTAAAAGTCAGTTTTCACTGACCTAAGCTGCAGTTCGCATGTGGGCGACAGTGTAGGAAAATATACAATTTGAAAGTCTACTGACACACACACTGAGCGTAAGACAACATTGTGTGCCGGCCAGGCTACTTAACAGGCCGCCCCCCTCGTGCGTGAGCCGATATTAGTCGCCGAGGGACGCCGTGTTGATCCAGCCTAGCCGAGACCTCGTGTCAAGTGGACTCCCGCTGTCCTGGCTCCATCATTCATACCCTGACTGTTATTTCCCCCTGCGCTCCCCGCACGGCCACGCCGCTCCCGAGCGCTCGTAAACTGTGGATTGTTGTCCGTCTCGGCACGTGCACGC